GTTATATACAAAGGGAAACTTCAAAGTGAAACATAAATCTGTAGATCTGTGTTTGATTACTCTGCCTGGCTTTCTCAAGGACCAGGATGTGACACAAAAATCTGAATTTTGGAACTGAATGTGAAAGTAGTCAAACTGAATTTTTAATAAACCAAAATACAGTTTCAAAGCAAATTAATTCATATAGAAATCATTAAATTCAGTTTCAATTTAGTAAAATTCATTTTCAAACCAATGCATTCAATTTCAAATTATGCACATTCAGATTCAATCTGAGAGATTCAAATTCAATTCCTGCTGGCACAAGATTTATCTCATAAAATACTTTGATCACGAGTAGCAGATAAAAATTAATATGATGCGTGTAGCGGACAGTGCGGCCTTGGTGCRCATTTTATGGCTTTCCCTGAACTCCGGTTTATGTCGGTTCTTCAGGTGATTAAACCTTTTCATAGGGTTGGAGTGKGCTGAGAAGGATACACCGAACCCGTCCCTCTGATCGGACGAACAGTTCGACATATCTGTGAGGAGTCTTTGAATTTGGACAGTTTTCATCTCATCGCTGTGCCGCTATCGGCCTTCAGAGGACACAGCTCCTGAATTTGGACACACACTGTGATTCAGTTGCTTTAAAACCTTTTTTTTTCCTGCAATCTCAGATTAATCAGAATTAATTTTTTTGTGTTCGTACACACTCATTGTGTGYATTTCCTCAACAGCACTACACAGAAAACAGTCAAATATACAACCTTTTCCAGCTCTGCAATCTGCTCATGACTTTTGCCAGAGTGGCCTTCCAGCCCAAAAAAGGAGAGCAGTTTTATAGCAAGGTGATATCAAATCTAACACTGTTTGGTGACGGTGCACAGCTGGTTCTAATTGTTCAACTCATCTTGCATAAAGGTTCACGATGTGATGGAGGAGTCCCTCGCAGACCTGGAGCCATGTCTGAGGACAGATGTTGCCTGGTCTCTGTGTGTGTTACAGCAGGCCAAACCTCACTATCTCATCCCGCTTTGTCAGCAAAGTCTTTTGACCAAAATGTCCGGTAAGACGCACCGCCCTGCGCTCAGTCTTTGTTTGTTCAGAGTGAGTGAGGTGAGTGAGTGAGGTGAGTGAGTGAGTAAAAGTTTTATTTATATAGCGCCTTTCACAGAAATAAATTCACAAGACACAAAGTACATTCAGGGAAGGGGGAGGGGGCAGTTAAGAAACACCCATTCAAGAAGACATACAAGACAAACATGGGGGAACAGGTGAAACAGGTCATGCAGCAAACACAGTTGTGCTACTTTTAACAACAGCTTGAAATACACAAAACAGGGCTCTAGAGTGCGACCAATTTGGTCGCAAATGTGGCCAGATTTCCTAATAGTGCGACTAAAAAAAATGTCCAGTCACACTGGTGCGACCGATCGTTCGAGGGGGAGTGGTCGCCCGCTGAAACTAAAAGTTTCCATGTTCCATAAAAATAATCCAGCAGTATCAATGGTCACCCGCCGACAGTCTCATCTCTCCTAATAACACAGCGCTCTGCTCGCGGCTCTGCTCCACACCTCCCGTGCACACACGTTTGTTGTTCTATCCTCATGGGGACTTTGCATTGGCTTCCATTCATTTCCCTGTCATTTCTATAGCCAACCATAACCTCCAGGTAGACTACACACCTGACACAAACCCTAACCTCACC